TATTATATATATATATATATATATATAAAAAAAGGACAATTATTTATAAATATTTTCCTTACACATCAAATACTATATCTGAACATATGACAAACCTTAAGTCTTAATACTTTTCTATGAACTTATGGTTTGCTGTTATATTTAAAATACATTAAAAATGATTGATTTGATTGTTTTTTCTTGAACCTTCATAAAACTTTTGTATTAAATTTGATTTCAAGACAAAGATCAAAATAGTTGGGCCAATGTTTTAAATGGTTATCATTAAATTCATTCCCTAAAAAGGCAATAATCATTAGTAGTGAGGTAAAATTGACTGTAGATTCAATTTTTTTTTTCATTTCTTAGCTTTGAAAAACATAAGTTATGAAAACTATTTTTTCTGATGCAAATAATTTTAAAATTCAAATGAAATCTATTTACAAAGAATGATTAAAAAAATATCTCGATTTACTACAATATTGTACGGTTTCATGCTAAAATTTAATGAAGATGGGAATTTCAATAAGTTGGTAATAATAAACTAGTCTAACCTCAAAATTGACGACAATACTTAAAGCAGCTTCCCAAATAGAAGGAGCGACTATTGGATCACTTTCTGATAAAGAGCTGAAGACAGTGGTGGCTAATTTATTTTCCATGGTTGAAAATATTCCATGGATGTTTTGACAAAGGCAACTCATTAATGCATACCAAGAACCACGGATCTAAAAATGAAAGGTAGACAAGAAGATTATTCTTCTAAAGCAGTCTAAAAATAAACAAACTTTTGAGAAAAAGGAGATAATGTACATAAAATATCATTCAATGTTCAAATATATAAATTAATACAAGACAAATAATTAAAGCACCTGAGCTTCCTTGCATTTTGCAAACTTCCAAAACCTTTTCTCGGCAATGATACTGCAAAAATCCTCATGCAATTTTTCAACTTCACTTCTCTCAACAATATTCAAAAACAATTTCAGAGCTTGAAGTGTGCCAGAAATAACTAAGATGTATTTATTTTCCATGTCTTCAGGTGAGGCAGAGCTACAATTAAGAATTTATCAATAAAAATTATAATTATAAAATTAAAACACAAAACAATTATTTAATATTATTAGTTTATTTTAAGTTCAAATATCTATTAAGATAAATCATAATTTTTTAAGTTTAAATTTATAATATGTACCATGCTTCAAACAATTACTTTCTTTCTACAAATAACTTAAAGACATAATGGTATAAAACTGTTTTC